ACCGACGCTCCAAGAAACAGCTTTCCTACCAGCAAAAGAAAAAGACAAGAGTCGACGCCATTGCAGCCTAAAGGAAGGATGCTCAGAGGGGAAAACAGGCAAGGCCAACCTCAACCAGTGGGAAAGAAGGCAGAGATTGAAAATCGCCAGTGTAAACAAGCGTAACATAGAAGGATTTCTGCAACTAAAAGGATGGCTGAGTAATAAGTGAATTTTTCAATATTTTTTTTTCTGTTTTGTAAAGTTACATGAAAAGATAAGAAACGAAGTTACTATGTAAAGTTAATTTGCCTCAGTTGAGGATTAAAGTTATTTTAGTTTTATTTGGCTAAAGCATAAACTATATTTTAAAAATGTAATGTTAGTGTAAAGAACCTAGGAGTTCGTTTTGTTTGTCAAAAGATTATTTATTTTAAAACGCCAAAGGTTCTGGCTTGATACAAGCAGCTTTATATTAGACTTGCTAATGAAAATTTGTTTTTAGGTTTGCACCTAAGGATCCAAGTAAAATTTTCATTTTATTCTGTATTGTGGTAAACGATTTTTGATTGTAAAATATGAAAATATCTACTGTGTTAGAATAAATGATGATGCAAATGTAGATTAAAGACACAAAGAGCATGTATAATAAGTTTTTAGTGCTAAAACCTCAAAATGTAAAGTAATGTGTTTAAAAGTTCTGCATTCAAGTTTTAATCTTGTGATTGTACAAACGAAAATTTATTTAAGTCAAACCATGCGTTTTCGAGTGAAAGCTTGCATGCGTGTAAGCTCGAAGGTGGGGAAATTTTTGTGTGCATGTGTTTTGTAGGGCTCTGTACCTACACTCTAGTTTAATTTTCACGTTTACTAGGTGGTCTAAGAAGGTCACTATTTAGGGTGTGTCTAAGAAGGTTGCTATGTGCTAACAAAGTTTATGTGTATTTAGGTGGAGCGTTTGTTCACTTTAACATATAGCACTTGCGTTTTCATAATGTTTCACCATACATTGTGGAGAGCCAAAAGGGGATTAAGTTTAAATTAAAGCATGAATGTATAATAAGCAAATGTGACCCGTAAAAACCGCAATGTTCAGAAAACTTGAGAAAGCAACGGTAAATAAAGTGTTATTTATTGTTTGATAGACACAGGTATTCATGTTATTCCTTCCAGATGACTGGAAGGACAAGACTGAATGCACTATTGAACAAGTATATGAAGCAAGTACAACAGAAGAAAACGAGGAAAGAGCATTTATTTATCTGTATTATAATTAAGTTAAAGTTTAGTATTCGTGTGTGAACGGGCTTCAGGGCACGTTAGATGTAGAATTTAACAGTTTGAATCAGGTCTTTGACCTTTATCCGAGTCTGCTAAATTCTGGCAAAGGCAACTGTCGGGATTTATATTTATTTTAACCAACAAGCTAAGTTTAATTTTAAAGTTTCCTATAAATCACTCCCCTAATTTTCAATGCCAGAATATTTAAATTTGGTAGCGCGCGTGAAGTAATGCAAATTCTACCTTGAGGAAAAAAAGGTTTAAATACTGAGTTCTAGAAGGGAAAATTAGAGAGTGAGGGCAAACGCTCTATCTATGTAGCGTAAGCTTCTGGTTCTGCTTTTATTGCTGTTTAACGTGGTGTAACAGCTATTACTTTGCTGCCACTAGTTTTGGACGCCGTTTTAGGTAATAAAATTATCTGAGCCCTGTAGAGTAATTCTACTACTTGTTAATATCTTCAAATTTTTAGTTTAGTTCTTGTTATGAGTTACCGTCCGAGTGAGGCGTAGTGTGTTAGCGTCAAGTCGACGCATTGTGGATTTTAAAAGAGTTAATAGAGGAGTCGTTTTAGCCTTCCCCTGTGTGCTTATACACGTACTTCAGCTACCACATCAGAAGATAGACAAGTAGATCTTACAACTTTTTTTTATTAATTTTGCCTTATGTAAATATTTCGCCATTAATACTCCTAATGTGTAGATATCATCCATTTATATAACTTGATATTACGAATGACATGGGCTTGTGGTGCGTTGCGTATGAGTTAATAGTACGTTTTGAAATTATATTTTTTTTATAATTCAAGTTGCCAAAAACATGATTTAATTGAAAATTTATTTCATTAGCAGTTAGTTATATTTTTCTTCAATCGCACCTACCAGCGGCCGATCGAAAAAATCACTGAACACCAGTAGTTCGATCTGGGTTCAATTCCACGAAAGCACTGGTTGCATGGGTGCTTTCGTGGTTTTCCCTATGTGTAAGGTGCATATGAGACAAGCTCCCTTTGAAAATCTTCCACCGCGGCGTCCTTGGGCAGGTAGCTTTCGTGTGCGTTGGCAGAATTTAACAAACCTGACCAATTTTTTTGCAATGCTTTATCCTCTACTTACTTTTATGTCTCAAACTTATAATTTTTCCTTCTCTCCCTGGCAAAAATTATGATATTTTTTTTCGTTAAATTCTTTTTTTTATTTTTTCGGTGCCTAATTCCTTTCAGATCTTTTAAAAACATAATAATAATTTTTAAAAAGTTATAACGCAATGGAAAAAAATTCAAACTTGGCTTATTTTTTGTTTGACATCTAAAATTTGGTACCTGCAAAAAATTTTTATTGGCTACACTTCTCAATTCAAACGATTTAACAGCTTTGACAGCTAAATGTTAAATTTTCAATTTCAGGCGCTTCTAAATTGTTGAATTAATCACCTATAACGTAAACAAATTTTAAGAAAAATTTCAGAATTTCCAGAGACAATTTTCGCAGTGGGACAAAATATGAATTTAATTCATAACTTTTTCCTTTACCCATGCAAAGAAAAAAAATTACATATATTTGTATGTAAACAATTATAAACATCTTTATTTACTGTTACCGCAACTTGAACTTAAAGGTATTTCAATTCTCCTTTCAGAAAACCAAATTAGTAGAAACTTATTATAACGCATTGTAAATGCTCATAGGTCAATTGGGTTCTTTTTTTCAGACTTATTCATTTTCAACTGCGCAAAACATGTTCATATATAAATGTATTTCCAAGCGAAACGAAATTCCTAACTGGGGATATTTATCCTTTAAAAAGTACGAAAAAATTTAGTCAAATCTGTATCTTCAAAATCCCTGAAAAAGATTTATGTGACAGTGGCAAATTAATTAACTCCATTTATAGATATTCTGCTACATTACTCATGCTCGTTTTAATTGTAATGAAAATAAGGCAGAACTTGACTACCAATCAACTTATCTTTCTTCAAATTCTTGTCATAATACTGCTATTTTTCTGAAGTCCTTTTTAGATTTTTCCATTTGAAATAATAAGGAAGGATCTTAGATATAGGAAATGAACAAAATGCATACGTGCCGATGATATACAATGTCATAAGTGACCATGATAAGCTCATCCTTTCTTTGCAGCTGTTTATTTGGAATATTTAGATGGCCAGTTTAGACAACAAGGAATGCAAAATCTGTTATCCATGTATCATTATATAGCTCGTCGATGATTTTATTTATTTATTTAGTTTTGCGTAAGGAAAACCTTGATTTCATTTATTAAATCAAAAAACTCTTTTAATATAGCTCATCGACATAACTGCCTCACTTCGTTGCACTAAATAATTTCTCTATATTCACTTTTTCTTCAAGCATTGCAATGCAACAAACTCGAATAATTCCTCGGGTAGAATTTACTGTTTTAGTTATTATTTAGTTCATTACTGTTAATTAGTTTTATTGTTAACCCTATGCATGTGCAAACTTTCGAAAAGTTTGGAACAAATATGTAACTAAAATGCATTAGGGAGCCTCATAGAATTGCTTCAGGCGGTCGTAAGTTTGAGACCGTTAACATAGACTATTCTACTTGGTCGGCCAAGGGACCGAAAATTGCTAATAATCCCTACTTCCAAGCAGTTTATGCAAGTCGTTAAACTTCTAATGACATTTTCGGGGTTTCATTCTGCTTAGAGTGCTTGAAACTTCGAGATGGCTTTTTCCACACTATATCATACTATATAGCCAAGAAGATGGTACAAGAGTTGATATTAGCTAAATTCTTGTTTATGTTACTTTTTTTTATTAATTTCAGAAGTCAATTCCACAAAAATTTTATGCCCTAATTGGCAAAATTCTGAAATTACGCAAAATATCTTAAAAATAGAGTTACGCGAGTACGAGTACACAATGAGTTAAATGCACACAAACCCGATGATAGCCTTGATAAAGTTTTTTTTTTTTTTTCAAAAGAAATACTTAACAGTTTTGGAACGTTTCAGAAAAGTAGTCTTACAGCTCTTCTCAATATGACAGAGAAGGCTCAGTATTACTTCAAACTACTAAAAATGTTAAACGCAAGACAATATAGAAAACTTCGAAAACGTAACCTCGCACAGTGATTTGACAATACTCTAGGCTAAACTCTGAACGGAACAGAAAACTCCCAACTCTCAAACTCTCACTGTATGCCGTGATAGCACGAAGATTTCGTGCTGTGTTCCGGCTGTCTTAACTTGTGGTGCCTTAGAATGACGTTTTAAGTAAAATGATTACCGAACACTAAGTCCAGGACATAATGGAGGATGGCAGAGGGGCGTGACCACTTTGTCACGAACTGTTGAGAATAATCACACGTACTCCCTGTTTCTGATTTAATATCATGTATTTTAACTTTAACTGTTATATACTTTGCTTAGGTTGATCTGGCAACAGTTGCAGTAGTTCTTGGTCATGGTTTGATATGTAGAAACGTGCTGCTCCATGTGCGTGAAATTCCATCATTTAATAAAGCCTTTACTTAATTATCATTGGCCTCTAATTCACCTTTTTTTTTAAATCTTTACAGCAGAGCGTTATTCTGATATGGAACACGCTAGAGGCGAAGCATTTATATTTGTTTTGTGGAACTTATTTGTTTGGAATGGAATCGCGCGTTAAGTGAAATTTGAAATGGCAGCACGTGATGAGAACACAAAGTATTGTGTTGAGCCGTTTAACGGTAAAAAATTTTCTCTGTTTAAGCGCCGTGTTGAAGCTGTGTTTGTGGCCAAAGGACTTGATAAATACGTAGACGTTGAAGCGGAGAAACGAAAGCTGCTGAAACAAAGATGCAAAAAAGGCTTACGCATTGCTGCAACCCTTCTAGATGATGCCCAATTGGCGACCATGTCGAGTGAATCTCGCATGTGAAATTTGAAGCAGTTTAAAGAATAAATACCTGAATGTGAGTGCAGTTAGTCAAATATTAGTATGAAAGAAATTATCGACACTGAAGTAACACCGAGATTGCAGTATGCAGTCTCATATTAATGAACTGTTGGCGATCTTAACTGAACTGCAACTCTCGGGTGCTGAAGTCAAAGATATCGATATGATTATTTATTTGTTGATGTCACTACCTGCTGAGTATGGCATTATTAAATCAACGATTGAAAACCAGCCAAATGAAATGCTTACGCTGGACTTTGTTATACAAAGACTCTTGAATGCTGAAGAATTGCAAGGTAAGAGAAATTCTTACGGTTCTAGTGTTTCTGGCTCAAGTAATAACATAGCTTTTATCCCTGATAAGCGTGATATCATCTGCCACAAATATAAAAGTAAAGATCATATGCCAAGCTTGCAAAAAAAAAAAAAAATTATTTGTTTGGATGTGGACGGCCAGGGCATTACAGAGGGATTGCAGATTTAAGCATAAATCAGTTATAGAGAATCGGCTGCAGTAACATCATGGTTGGCGAGCCTTTTGGAAATTTCATCTGATTCTGGAGCATCTACACACATGTGTAATAAAGGTGAGTGGTTTGAAGAAATTAAACCTTTTCTGAAACTGTTGCATGTGCTTCGAAAAATGATGTTTTAAAGTAGAAGGTATGGTACAGTACCTGAACATTAAATGGAAGAGAAATATTACTTAAAGATGTTTGTAGCGAAACGGTATCTTAACTTTAAATTATAAACCTAAGAATACATCACTGCGAGCGACTGTAAAATTTAATCTTTATTCGGCGATTTGAACTTTCGAACACAACACAGCACAAGTAAGCGACAGAGTGACAATGATCGGTTTAAGAATGCAAGAACAAAATGCGAGCTACGCATACAATCTGCGCATTGCGAAATAAAAGTATCTCACAGACTGGCAGAGAGCTCTGGTGGCCGAAACATTCCGCCCGGCGTTGAAACATCGTTCAAACTAAATAGCTCTTTTACAAATGAATTATCATAACAATATTAAATTATGCAAAAATGTATCATTAAAATATTCACAAGAAAACGTACTATGAAATTATGCAATGAAACTAATTGTTCTCAAAACAGATGCACAGAAGCCTTGATACATTCAGGAACTTAATTATAGTTAAGTAAGTACAAAGTTATAATGCTTTAGGAAAAAACTTAATCATTGATAGGCAAAACACTAAGTTTGTGAATTGGCCTTTTGAAACTCCGGTAGCAGTTTTGATCTTCACGATACGCACAATATTATCTGAGCTAGGAAAACTTCCAGCACTCTTCCCAATTTCCATCGTAGCGGGGGGTAAATTGTCTTCCTTTATGATAACTAAATCATTAACCTTTAAATTAGGTTGCACTTTCAACCATTTGAACGTCGTTGTAAATTAGAAATGTATTCATGAATCATTCTCTTTTCCAAAAGCTGTGAAACATTTTCTCAACAAGCTTCCAACGTTGCAATATAGGAATTTTAATCGTGTAAACTTCTTCTGGTAAGGAAGTTAGCGGGTGGGTACCAATTAAAAAATGGCCTGGCGTAAGTGCAGAAAATTCTGATGGATCTTCAGACAGTGGACACAACGGTCGCGAATTTAAACAAGCTTCAATTTGAGCTAGCAATGTCATAAATTCTTCTTGCGTTAGAAGTTGTTCACCTATGGTTCGCTTGAGATGTAAATTTGTAGATTTGACTACAGCTTCCCATAATCCTCCAAAATGTGGCGCTGCGGAGAGTTAAATATCCACTTAATACCTTCAGTAGAGCAATATTTAATAACCAATTCATTTTCCTTCAAGGAGTTATTACTCTTTTCAATTCCTTATCTGCAGCAATAAAATTTGTGCCACAATCGCTATGCACTTCTATTGGTTTTCCTCTTCGAGATACAAGCGCTTCAAAGCGGCAATAAATGATTCTGATGTAAGATACCTACTAATTCAATATGTATAGCTCTTGTAGTAAACACACGAATACACAAATGTAGCATTTCATTGGTTTACTCCTCGACTTGCCTGGGCTTCACTTGAAATGGCCCGGCGTAGTCAATTCCAACTTGGAGAAAACCTTTGACGAACGACTCTAGACGATGGTAAATCACACATTATCTGAGTAGATGTTTTAGCTCTACACGATGACTTTCACACATTTCCAAATCTGTTGTCTTACAACTGACCTGCGTGAATTATCAATATTCTCTCTAATTACTGATAGTAATAGCAGGGGGCTGCATGAAGATGGGGATTCATGAAAATGATTCACTATAATCTGTGTTATGTGATGTTCTTGGGCAACAAATAGGATATTTCTGTCCTGCGCGATGTTGGATTGTCTTAAATCTTCCTCCACGCGTAAAGTCCATCTTATCGATAAAGGGGTTCAAAGAAAGGATCATATATTTGAGGTTAACGTTGATTTTTCAGAAGATTAATTCGTTAAAAAATCATCATTTGAACTACTCTAACAATTGCATTTAGCGTATTGCAATTCTTCGGTTTTAAGGCAACCCTTATCCTTGTGCGGTAGATTTAGCTGAATTATCGCAAACCGACGAAAACACCAAGCGGATGATTCTTTTAAGTTTCAAAATGATGAAACTTCATTAAGACTGGAATTTCGAAGCGACCTGTTCCAATTGAACAAGAATATTTTTCCGTGTTCCCTTAAAGACTTTATGAAAATGGTAAGTGATAGAGAACGGAATATTATTTGAATTAAGCACTGAGGACCTGTCCACACAAGTCATGAGTAGAAAGCTCTGAATGCAAAAACTCTTGATGCGCAATCATCTGGATTCTCCTTTCCTTTATGTGATTCCAATGCGATGAGGTAAGACTGATTGAATTTCTGAAAAAGCGGTTGGCTACGAAGGTTTGCCCAGCGTGTTGGTTCTGATTGTATCCAGGACAAAACTATCATTGAATCACTCCATGCGTAAGTATGTCAACATGAATTTGCAATGAATTCTACAAGCTTGAACCAAATGCACTAATAACTGCAGAGCATAGTTCAAACGAGGATAGAGATTACTCAGGGAGCTACGCGAGTTTTTGATGGTAGTAGCTGCACCGAATTGAAGAATGATTTGAAGACTTAAATAAATCACTGCGGCGGCGTAAGCTTCTCTGATGCGTCACAGAAAAATGAAGTTCTATATTTGTAGATTTGGGCAATAATACTCTCCTAGGAATATGATGCATTCAGATTGCGATATCTTCACAATAGATTTTCCATCTTTGATTGATTCATCTGGCAAGGGATCATCCACGAGATTTGTAATTTCCATGGTCTTGAAGCAAGATTTTTGCTGCAACTATAAAAGGTGCTAACCAACCAAGTGGATCAAAGATTTTCGAAATAGAAGATAAAATTATTCTTTTAGTGAACACTCTCTGTTTTCGGATTTCCAAGTGACAAGTAAACTCGTCTTGCGTTGGATACCACTCCAAACCCAATAATTTTATGATTTAGTATCAACTACTGTACATGAGAATTTGATTTCCGAGCACTCAAAGCAGTTTCCACAATCGAGCGATCATTTGTACACCATTTATGCAATTGAAAGCCACCTTTTTGTAAAAGTTCACTCAGTTGTGAAATTAACTCTACTGCGTCTTCTACTGTGTTGAACCAAATAGGACATCATCAATATACAATTGTGTAATATTATTTCAGCTGCCTTTGGGAATTTAGTTTCTTCGTCAATTGTTGTTGTTTGAGTACGCGAGTAGCCAGGTATGAAGCGGAAGTAGGCCGTACGTAACTGTGCACAACCGTAAGTTTTAATCGGCTTCGATGGATCATCTCTCCAAAATATTTTTTGGAAATCGCGATCTCATCATGAATTTGAACTTGTCGATACATTTTCATAAGTCGCTAGTAATGGCTATGGGATAGTATCTAAACCTCAAAAGAATAGTAAATAAGTCGCTTGAACTTGGGACCATTCATTAGCGTGTCATTAAGCGATATCCCTGATGTAGTTTTGGCACTAGCATTGAAAACGACGCCGTTTTGTGTAAGACTTGATTCTTTTAGCACGTGATGATGAGGTATATAATAATGAAATTTACTTTATCTGGATTATCATCGGATAATTCTTGGATGTGTCCAAGTGATAAATATTCGGACATGAAGTCTTTTATACTGTTGATAACTTCAGGAGTTTTATTAATTTGTGCCAGACTAAGAAACTTGCGAAGGCTGATGGTCTGGAATTATCTAACTCATTTCTTTTAGGCTTGAATGGCAGTTTTACTGAGTAACGACCCTTTTCACTACGCACGTGATTTTCCACGAAATGATTTCACACAATCTTTCCTCTTTAGTTAAAGGTTTCGATGTAGGAATTTGTTCCAAATCCCAAATGATTTAAAATTCCTCCGTGTTTACGTTTAGCGTATTGAGTGAAACCGCTTACGGTTTGGGAATTCAAAATGTGTAGTTCCAGCAATTATCCATCCTAACTTAGAACAAATGCAAATGGAAGATTTTTTGCCCCTTTTAATTACCTCGCCATTCATTAAAGTAAGGAATACATTAACTCCAAGTAAAAATTCAATTTCTCCCGATTCATGAAATGTAGGATCTGCTAAAGTTAAATCTTCGAAACTTTCATATAAATTCAAAGGTAATGTTACACTTGGATTTCCTTTAATTTTGTCTATTATGTAAGCGGACGTTGAAATTCTGTAATTAGTATTAAAATGAGGTGTAAACAACACTCCAACTTCTCCAGCAGTAGTTGTATTGAAAGTACCTAAGCAGGACACTAATATCTTCGAATCCTTTATGCTCAATCCTAAATTGATAGCTGTTTCCGACGAATGAATGATTTTTCACTACCTGAATCTAGTAAACATCTACAATGTATGTTCCTGGTTTGAGTTTTTGAACCTTAATTAAAGCAGTAACCAAAAGTACATGACTACGTTTACCATTAGCATGAGCACCA